AATGTGTTTTCTGCTTGTTCATAAGCACAAAGCTACACATTTTTTTTATCTACTTGTTGATAAGCACAAAGCTACACAATGTGTTTTCTGCTTGTTGATAAGCACAAAGCTACACAATGTGTTATCTGTTTGTTGTTAAGCACAAAGCTACACAATGTGTTATCTGCTTGTTGATAAGCACAAAGCTACACAATTTTTAATCTGTTTGTTGTTAAGCACAAAGCTACACAATTTGTTAACTGTTTGTTCTTAAGCGCAAAGCTACACAATGTGTTATATGTTTGTTGTTAAGAACAAAGCTACACAATGTGTTATTTGCTTGTTGATAAGCACAAAGCTACACAATTTTGTGTCTGTTTGTTGTTAAGCGCAAAGCTACACAATATGTTATTTGTTTGTTCTTAAGCGCAAAGCTACACAATGTGTTATCTGTTTTTGTTAAGCATGAACATAGTACCAGAACATGCTTGTCTTGGCCCAACAATAGTACATTCAGTCTCACATAGCTAAAAGGTTCACATATAACATTTGAATACGTGGTAAATTAGCTGAAACTGTATCTTATTGCAGAAAGCCTTACGAGTGAAGAGAGAAAAATATGGCTTGTATTTTTAGATAGCTTAGTTGGATATAGCATTGTTAGATTGGTCCTGAATTCAAGACCCAGTCTCGCAGTTTCTTTTCACTTATCGACTTTTTCACTTACAATAATGTTTGTTAGGAAGTTTACTTTATTAAATCATAATATCAATTTGCTAGATGATGAACAACAGCGAAGATTATATATTAACCCACTGATGCGATGAGGATCATAGAATTTCATGAAGTTAACTGAATCGTAATTCACTACCTGATAAGTCAATGACGATTACAAAATATAAATGATAAGTCTGAGGTCTTAGAACGTCAAAAATCGGGTGTCGGTTCCTTTCAATGAGTAGAGCACACATAATACATTGTGTAGCTTTCCGCTTAACAACAAACAGATAACACATTGTGTAGCTTTGTGCTTAACAAAAACAGATAACACATTGTGTAGCTTTGTAGTTATCTATTTCTCGTTAAAGCTAATCTGTTCATCGGTTGAAATATTTTACCATCATAACCATACTATTATTAAATCATTTAAATGCATGATACCACATAAAATAGAAGCCCAAGGAAGCTTAATAAGGCTGGTCTTGAGCTCAAAATAATTTATCTCAAGTATAAATAACTTGTTTGGTGAGCAGCATTTGATTCTATATATTAAACAACAAAAAACGAATACAAAAAATACACACACATTTGCACTCGCAAGCGGAAAGTATTCGCCATGTTAATATAGAACTTTAATTGCAAGGTCTAGGTTGCTTATTTCACACAAAGACAAGCTGCGTATAACTGTTCCTAATCTTAAACTGATAGCCCAGAGAGGAAGTGGGTACTGAACATTCGTATAACACACCCATGGCCCCAAAGTGTACAGCGTGTTTTGTACGGCATAGAGACGCGAATAATGGTACCCGAGATTCACGGTGACATGCTGGGCACTAAGCCACGTCCAGACACGCAAGATATAAAAGTCTTAACACAATTAACACTACACTCTGGCTTTAAAAGTTATGGCCAGGTGGTGAGGGCGCTCGACTCGCAATCTGCAGGTGGCGCGGGTTCGAATGCCCATCACACCAAACATGCTCGCTCTTTCAGCAGTGGGGGTGTTATATTGTGACGGTCAATCCCACTAATCGTTGGTAAAAAAGTAGCCCAAGAGTTGGCGGTTGATGATGATGACTAGCTGCCTTCCGTCTAGTCTTACACTGTTAAATTAGAGACGGCTAGCGCAGATAACAAACCAATCTCATATCTATCTTATAAAATATAACAATATTTTAAAAAGGTAACCTTTCTCCTCGCTCTAAAAAAAAAAAAGATGTACACATCTCTTTTCAAGGATTTAAAATAATTATATATATATCAATTTATTCAGTAAATTATTCAATTGCAACGAAGCCTAATTTAATCTAAATCATGGAAATAAACCAAGAATAACACTTTGGGTTATCATATCTTCACAATTAAAAATGGCTTGACATGGTTAGGGTGCTCGACTCGCAATCTGTGGGTCGCGGGGTCAAAACCCGGCACCGAACGATTTCCACTTTTCAGTCTTGTGAGCGTTTTAATGTGGCAGTCATCCCAAATATAACCATAGAGTTGGTTGTGGGTGATGTTGACTACCGGTTTCCCATTGTCACTTCAGAATTGGAGGTTAGAGCAAATAGATCTCGTGTAGGTACGGCTAGGGCTAGCGTAGATAGCTCTCGAGTAGGTTGGCGTGAAATTCAACAAACAAACGATTAGAAAAAATATGTTGAAGAGTCTACATAAATTCTGCTTGTTTATAATTGCAATTATAAAAGTAATTATTTTCTGAATTATACACAACAAGGTTATTACTCTGATAATTATTCACAGACATAGTAAACCATGAGTCAGACCACAAAATTAAGCCACCACTACCACTTGGTGGCGGTGCAAAGGTTATGATACTTTTATTTTTTGTTTTGTTTGAAGTTAAGCACAAAACTACACAATGGGCTATCTGTGCTCTGCCCACGACTGGTATCGAAACCCTGTTTTTAGCGTTGTAAGTCCGCAGACATACCGCTCTGCTATATGAAAACACATGATAACAATATCATTTCGGTAGCCTTTACAAGATACAGCGTTTCCATGGTAACAGCTTTATTGAATTTGCTGAAATTAAAGTTATCTTAAGAACTGATTTTTGGCAACAACCAAAAATAATATAAGATCAAGGAACCCATCGTTTTATATGTTTATTGGCATGATCATCAAGTACAGAGTGAACATGATCATCGAGTGCAGAGTAAACATGATCATCGAGTGCAGAGTGAACATGATCATCGAGTGCAGAGTAAACATGATCGTAGAGTACAGAGTAAACATGATCATCGAGTGCAGAGTAAACATGATCATCGATTACAGAGTAAACATGATCATCGATTACAGAGTAAACATGATCATCGAATGCAGAATAAACATGATCATCGGATCATCGTTTACAGAGTAAACATGATCATCGATTACAGAGTAAATATGATCATCGAGTGCAGAGTAAACATGATCATCGATTACAGAGTAAACATGATCATCGAGTGTAGAGTGAACATGATCATCGAGTACAGAGTAAACATGATCATCGAGTACAGAGTGAACATGATCATCGATTACAGAGTAAACTTGATCATCGATTACAGAGTAAACATGATCATCGAGTACAGAGTAAACATGATCATCGAGTGCAGAGTAAACATGATCATCGAGTACAGAGTAAACATGATCATCGATTACAGAGTAAACATGATCATCGAGTGCAGAGTAAACATGATCATCGATTACAGAGTAAACATGATCATCGATTACAGAGTAAACATGATCATCGAGTACAGAGTAAACATGATCATCGAGTACAGAGTAAACATGATCATCGAGTGTAGAGTGAACATGATCATCGAGTACAGAGTAAACATGATCATCGAGTGCAGAGTGAACATGATCATCGAGTGTAGAGCAAACATGATCGTAGAGTAGAGAGTAAACATGATCATCGAGTGCAGAGTAACATGATCATCGCTTACAGAGTAAACATGATCATCGATTACAGAGTAACATGATCATCGAG